AGAGCAGTAAGATTGTGCACCATCAGAAGAGAGAGAGAGAGAACTGCTCACCCCCCTAGCATCTCCTCTGTAGGACTGTCTTGGTTAGCCATCCTCGGTTTCAGTTGCTACATCACATCAAGCACCATGATGATTTGGGCTGCGGGTCAGTGTGCTTGGAGGAGAGGAAGCAGAGCTGTGAGGGGGGTTGAGAGGAGAAGAGCTGTTTCCCTGTGCCCACAGGTTCCTCATCAGGGAGGGGCGAAGTGGCAAAGCACTGCACAAAGACTGGGCTGAAACATCACCTGGTGGCGGGGCTCTGAAGGACTCTAAGGTAGCTCCTCCGACTTCCCAGATCCTCTTCCCCAAATGCTCTTGAATCATCAGGACTTGCTGTTGCTCCCCCAAATTCCTTCCAGATGTGCAGCTTCCACTCAGCCTGGAGACCATGTGGCTATTGACGGTGACTTTGTCCATGCTGTGAGCGCGAACTTTCAAAATGGGGTTGCTCAGACAGGTGGCTTGGGGGCATGGTCTGGATGCACCTGGAGCTAAGGAGAGCTGGTGGGGCTTGGATATACTTTGACCAAAAGTGGGGCAAGGAGCGGTACACGAGAGATCTGCCCAAGCGGTGAACAGTCAGTGGCGTGAGAAAGGTGTGCAGACAAAGACTAACTCTCGACACAATGCATGTCACCAATGAAATCTTCGTGAATGGCACGTTAACATGCACTTGGTGCTAGCATGGGGCGACACAACTTCACTGGTGAAGAAAGCGGGAAGGGGGGAGGAGGGGAGTGCATCACTGAGGAACATACCCGCAAGCTGCGGGGCTGCAAACAAACAAAAATGAACACAACCGCCAAGATACAGGTATCGGCTGAAGCATCCCACATCACCCTTCCCAGCCGTTCAGAGACAGGTGTCTGCTTCGTTTTCCATCTGACCAGACACACGCTCCAAGCAGCACGCTACAGTCAGCATGGAGTTCCTGTGGCTCGGGATGGCTGCAATTCCCCTGTCCAGTTCCTTTCAGAAAGACTTGCCTTCACCCCTCCTCTCGGTCATCTGAAAAGGGTTAGAAATCTGCTAGCAAGTATGGGGCCATATATTAAATCCAAGTCTTTGATCCTCTGCTTGGACATTACCAGACATCTTCATGTAACTCTTGTAATATTTACAAACCAGTAGAAGAAATACATTTTTTTTCTTTTTTTTTTTTTTCCATTTTGTTCATTTCTTTTTATAACACTAAATGTTAAATCTCCATCAATCAAACACAATTACACTGACAAGCTCAAGGAACTGGTGTCCATTCCAAACTCCCATCTGCCCCAGTCCCCAACCAGCTGAGAGCCAGCAGGAAGCGAGAGCGCAGCTTTTCGGGAGGGGCTGGGGAAGATAGCAACATGAAAGCGGAGTAGAGGCAAGGAGGAGAAACAGCTTCAGAGAAAAGGGCCTGAGACATGAGAAAACCCTTTGCAACATCTCTGTCAAAGGGCAGGGGGAAGAAGGAGAATGGGGAAAAGCGTTTGACCTTGCCTGTGTTGCCTATGTTCATCTGGGCTCTCCTCTCGACAGATGCTTTGAGCAATCCCTGCTTGAGTTCAGGAGAAACAGGGGGATATTCACAGCAACCTGTGAGGCACGTGGCAGCTTGCAGGATTAGCTTCTCGGAGTAAATCAAGCTCCAGCCTACCCACGACTCCCCCAGCCCTGCTAGGAACAGACATTGCCAGGAGCAGGGCTCCCAGCACTGCTGCAGGTAACAGGCATACTTGGTATTTGTGGCTTTTCTCAGACAGGTCTGCAAATAACTGGCTTTAACCATGTTTCACAGACATGCAATGGAGGCATAGATCTGCCCAGGTCCTGCGGGCAAGACCAGATCTCAGCACTGGGGTTGTGGCTGTTTCCTCTAGCTAATAGGCAGATGGCATCAAAAAAAACGGGTGTCCTGGGTTTAGTAATGTATTTCCCTTTAACCATGAGCCTCTGTGCCTTGACATCTAAAAAAAATAACCCCTCAAAACTCCTTCAAACCAAAAAAGATGTGAGACAATGAGGTGCTGGGGCTTGTGACCACCACCACACCACAGGGCTCTGATGTGTGTGAAGCGAGTGCCTAGGAGTGACCCCACAGCCACAAAAACACATGCAGAGGACAACACGCAGGACAGACCTTCCAATAGCAACCGGGCTGACATCAAAGAGAAGCCTCAGCCTAAAGAAAACGGTGGGCTTGACCCAGCCTTTGAGAACAGACTATGCCAGCATGTCCCTGCAGGGTCCCCACCTTCTTGCAACAAGCCTGCGACAATTAATCCAGGCGTAGGTACAGCCCCGAGAATGAGAAATGCCAGTGACGCGGTGTTTTCCCTCGTGCCAGTGTGCTGGAGAGGGTGGAGCTCCCAGCCCCAGCTTCTGGGACCAGCATCAGCTCGCAGCTGTACCAGGGGGATGAGGAGCCCTGTTGCAGCAGGAAATCTGGAGTTGTTACTAAGACACCGAATGACATGACCCTCGCGAGAGGTAGGCATGAGGACTGGGGTGTCTGAACGCTCTGAAGGATACAGGGCATTTTTTTTTCCTGGGCCATAGCATGCCGGTCTCCAAAGGAGATGCAGAAGTCCCATCAATGACCACCCTGTCTCGGAAGGGGGGAGCTGTCCCTGGATGCCTTCGGCGGATTTCAAGCACCAATTGCCCAGCTCTCCCACCTTGTGCCAAGGCACAAACACCCCCAGGTATGGCTTTGGGGCCTGGAGGAGCAGCGGGAACATAATTTACCACCATCCAAATCCACAGCAGGTCTATAGCAAGTCTGCCATCACCCAAAGTTCAGCCTCTCGTGTCTCTCTCTTTAATATTTCCTCGCTCATTCTGGCTGCCTGCGAGGAGCCCTTCACTGCCTGCTTAATTGCCTGTCTGCTGCTGCCCGAAACAGCTGAGCTCAGCAGAGAGGAGGCAGGCGCCGGCAGTGCCGCAATGCAAGGTGAAAGCGCCGCACTGAGCGGCAGGGAGAGGCCTTGGCGGAGTGTGCCCCTGCCGTGCAAAGATGGGAACGGGCTCACAGACAGCAATTCCCACTTTCCTTCCCGGCAGGGGACCACCTGGTGGGTATCCCCTCCCGCACGCCGCAGGGCTGCAAGCCCAAGATGTTTCCCCCTTGCCTTCAAGAGTGTGCAAGCATGGCTGCCAAGTGTGCTGCCGCTGCACCAATTCACAGGGCAAAGACAGTAAAGCAAGCTTGCTGGTGCTTGAAAGCTCAGTGGTGCCAAGCACCTGTAAAACGCTGCACTGTCGCGGGATGGTCACTCAACTTGTGTGGGCAAATTCCTCCCTGCGCATCCCTCCCCCCCAAAAAACAAGTGGCTACCTGATAAACCCTGTGTTTTATCATCTTTGCAGCTGTGGATGCTAGGGCTTGTGACTGGCCAGGAAACACAGGAGTCTTCTCCCCACTGCCCCTGCCCGCATACATGCACCGCGGCCACTGGAGTGTACAACTGTTGGCTTCCCCTCTCCCACTGCTCGCTCCGGCTCCTGCAGCAGACCTGTTGCTGGCATGGCAATTTCCAGCCACCACCCAGCATTTTCTTAACCCTGTTTCTTACAGCCTTTTCTCTCCTGATCCTTCTCCTCACTCAGGAGCCACTGGAGAATCTCCTGGTGGCATCTCTGCATGTGATTCTGCCATGGGAAGGGTGATGGCAAGTAATAGCCCTCTCCAGCAAGACCAGCACCCTTCAGATGAGGAAAGAGAAGAGCAAGGGGAATTGTGCTGCCTACTTCTTCGCTGCACCACTTTAAGATCCTTCTTTATAAGCCCAGGATTTTGGACCTGACATTTGTTTTTCTTCTTACATTCACAGGTCCTGGACATTTTCTGACCCAATTTGTTTCAAATGTGGAATTTGCAAAGTGAGCTTTGTAGTAGCAGTGATGTACAATACACACACGCGCGCGCACACACACACACTCTCACCCTTACATAGCATACGTTGCCTTTTATAACAGGGAGGACAGTAAGAACAACAACAAAAAAGGGATATTGGCTCTATTTTTGCATGACTACCAAAATGGTTAGGAATGACCAGATTGTGGTTTTCATGTTGAGGCATCATTCCTACGCGCACGCTACACCTACAGGAATGGCTGCTTGGTGATGTCCAAGGTCTCATCACTCACATCCCACTGGCCCAGCCTCCCCTCCCCAGGAGGAACGGACGGCAGCACCCTGCACTCTGTAGTGCTGCAGGCCAGTCCTGCTTTCTTCTGCTTATTTGGCCAAAGGCACACATGTGCACACCCCCATGCGCATGTGCAAGCACTCGTGTAGCAAGGGCTGCTAGGCTGGTACTTGAAGGCTGAGAGCCAGACAGGTTGCAGGTGGGAGAGAAAAAAAGGCTAAACGAGGGTGCAGACTGACTCTTGCAAGCAAGGTGGCCAGGAGTCAAGCCAGTGAGGACGCCAGAGAGGGGACACTATGGGAACCTGTGTTGCAGCTGCCTCTCTCTCCTCACCCCTCTTCTCTGCCTGAGTGATCTCTCAGCATCTTGTCTCAGACTTACAAGGCAGGACATTATCTACAGCAGGATGAGCACATGTACACATGGACTGTTCCTTTTGCATGCTTAGAGAGAGCAAGAGAAAGAGAGAAAGAGAGAGAAGACGGAGCGAGAGCCCAACATACACGCATGCACGCAGGCACACAGGCATACACGGGAGAAAGACACCTGGTCAAATTAAGGGGGGAGAGGAAGAGGATTAAAAAAAAAAAAGAAAAGAAAAGAAAAGTATGTTTTCAGTAGAGTTGACACAGCTTTAGTTCAGGCCAGCGAGAGCAATGTTGCATGGAAGAGGGGATGGGAAAGAAGGTGTTTAGCAAGGGCTGGGTGCACAGGAGCGCAGGGCGAAGTGAAGAGAGGAAGGGGTTCTTCACAGGACACCAGTGTGCAGAGAGCTTCAGGTGACTTGCTCTGGTTTGTGTCTTTTTTTTTTTTCTTTTTCTTTTTTTTTTTGTTTTCAAAAGTATGAACTGGCTGAGCATCGGCTCACGAAAATGACCCAGGGCATCCAAAAAGTTAAGTGGCTATTGACACCGAAGCAAAGACCTCTTTCCACAAAAGAAAGAAAGAGGAGGAAGGAAGGTGAGGGAGCATGGAAAAGAGGAAGGAGGAGAGAAAAGAAAAGGGATCTTCTGTTCGATTGGCTTTGCGGGTTTTGTTGGATTGTTTACATTGCAGCATCCTCCGGCAACACGATCCTTGCTGGTGCCCCATTCTCTCCCTTGCTTTGTGTTGCCTCCTAGATGGTCAGTGACTTGACAGCCGGCTTGTCAGTTTTCGGATTAAATGTTGCTGAGTCTTCTTTGCTGTAAGTTTTCCTCTCCCCCCTCTTCGCTCCTGAACACACAAAAGTTGTGAAATAAACAGTCCTCTCTCTCTCCCCCCCCCTTTTCTCTCTCCCCTCTCTTCGCTCTGTCTCCTGTATAACGCGTTTTGTTTTGTGTGTTGTTGTTGTTGTCGCCGTGTTGGTTTTTTTTTTAATTATTATTATTATTATTTTTTTAAATTCTGATTTGTATTAACATTTGCTGAGTAGGCAGAGCAGGGACGCTGCCAGCAGCCACAGTGGGATGGCCAAACTCATGGAGCCGTTGTCTACTCTCCCTGTGCCAGGTCCTGCAGGGTGCGAGAAGGGAGAGAAAAGAGGACAAGATTACACGCGGCTGGGCGAGACGTGGGTAACGCAGGAACACGGCGCTTTGCTCCAGGGCTGCTCCTGCGGCAGGGGGCCGGGGCTGCAGGGCACAGCCTCCTTCCCGCTTAGGTGAGACTCCGTCCAGCCCAACTGCAGGCTCCTGCCCGCCAGCTCCTCGGCATCCTCCCCTCCCACCCAACGCTCTGACAGCATGCAGCTCTTCCTAAGCAACACCCAGCCTGGAGAAACAGGGCCTGGAGCAAGCGGGACGGCTTGATCCCAGCTGCCAACCCCATCCCACCCCTCTGGCTGGGAGCCGCTGGCTGCCTGGTGCAGGGGCATGGTTCACACCTTCGCAGGGCACAGCCCCCGGCCACCGGCCCCGCACCTCCCCGCTCTGCCACCTTCCCGGCAGTGGCCCTGGGATGCCAGGGCTTGTTGTAATTCTGCGCGGTGGCCAGTGCCTGTCTGCAGCCAGACACGGGCTCCGCGGGGGCTGATTCATCACAGCGGTCCGATCAATAAAACATGGGCCCAACCAGCGGACGCCTACCCTCCCAGGGGCTGCGCCGCAATTATTTATTCTTTAATCGGGGTGGAGGAAGGCTTCGCTGTTGTGATTACAGCCCTGTGGCACAACACCTATGGGGTGAGGGTGCCAGGGAGGTTGATTTTTCATAAGGGTAGGAAATGAACTTGCAGGGGTGTGTGCGCGCATGCACGGGGGTCTGTCAGAGGGGGCAGGGAGGAGCGCTCTGCTGCAGCAACAAATAATGCAGCCTCGCTCCAGGAATATTAAGTGCTAACACTCCTGACATCTTCTCATTCATCCTCTCATTTATGGGTTTCCTTTTCTGGATGGCTTTAAAGGCAGTTGTGCTGTTTTAAATTCACCCTGCAATACCAAGCCTTGGCAGCTTTTTCTTTATAATGGGGCAGGGAGGGGTATATGGCTGTGGTTTCACAAATGCATGCTCATCATGCATACGTACGCATATGTGTATGCATATATGCAAATGTATGTATATGCACATATACACATGCATGTACATGTACACATATATGTATAAATACATGTATATGTACACATATATGTATATGCATATGTACATGTACACATACACATATACGTTTATGCGGTGTTTTACACAGAAGGGGTGCAGGAAGATGCTGAAGTGTGGAGATGGAAATGAGCCTATATGTTGGGACTGACCCTGGTGTGGAAGAAGACATGCTTACTACCAAGAAGAGCTATGTCTAATGGCAGGCGGGGAGCCAAGAAAAAAATAAAGCCCCCTGTTCAGGAGAGCCCCACGGGACCGAAGTGCAATTGCTCCCTCTCACAACCTGCAGAGTTTACCAGGCGAAGAGCCCCTCTCTGCTGGGTGGAGCACGGGTGCCACAGGCTTCCTCAGCAGCACGGTTGCTATTAAACTCTAGCTGGTGACTAAAAGGCAGCAAGAACCCAGAACCCCTGAAATTCTGTAGCACTTTCATTTATGTGATTTCTTGCTAATGTAGCCCGTCACTTACTAGATCAGCTGTTTCTGCCCCAATTCTCTTCTTTCATTATTAAGTATGTGCTGAATTGTGTGGAAAATTTATATTCCATCTATGGCTTCTTTTTTCAGTTATTCCCTGCTCGTCTTTTGTGGATTGTCACACAAATCCTACAACACTATTTTTTCATTCTTTGGGTGACAGGAACTTATTTTCCCTTCTGAGCTCAGGAACAAGTTCAAGTTCAGCTACTATGCTTACCTGACCTATGTGTCAGAGAAAGCATCTTCCATGGTCAAATGATTGGGAGGGAGGATGTTTGGGACTATTTGTGTCCTATGTTGGCAGTGAAAAAGTCCCAAAACATGACTTCTCTGGCCCAGCAAATAATCAAGAACACAACAGGTAGGATGTGTTGCCCACAAAAAGTTTTCAGCCATCACATTTTTACTATTTGGCTAAAATACTATTTGTCCAATACATACATGGACATATATGTAACACATACATGTGGCAACCAGCCCCCCACTTTTCTTGGGTACACATGCAATCAAAGCAAAGGCGTATGTACCTACGGAGGCATGCAATGCACACCTAGCACAGCAGAGGGATAAGTATGCTTGGCCTTGCCTGGGTATTGCTGCCTTCATATGTCTACGTGCATGGCTCTGGGGTTTGTGTGCTTGGTGGGAGGTAGGGGTAGGGTAGGGTATGGTCTGGTCTGGTCTGGTCTGGTATGGTATGGTATGGTATAGCATGGTAAAGAGATGAGCTTCTGCAATACCTAGGTATAAGGGATGACACACAAGGCATGACATGATGAAGGACTTGGCAGAGGGTCACACCAGCTTCTGCTCTGCTTGAGTTTGTGTGCGTAAGCTTGAGGATACCTGACAAGCCAAGACTCCCATCTCCATGGCTGAAAAATGGCATGAGTTACATGTCCTGTGTTTCCCTGCTAAGCTCCCTGCCTGTGCCAGTGAGGTGGTGGGGCCGTCCGCAGAAGCCCCTCCAGGTGCAGGCCTGATCATGCAGACCACCACATGCTCACACCAGCAGTTGTTTGCACCAACGGGCCGTATGTAGCCGTGAGGGTGCCGGGCAGTGCGTTAAGCTGACTGGGAGGCCTGGGAGCCGGTGTGGTTCAAAGCTGCTGCAGCCCCTGCACATAACCCTGGGGGCCACATGTACCCTGTGTGTCTTACAGCACAGCTAGCTAAAGCACCTGACACGTATGCTACATTGACTGTCACATGTATTGTAAAAATGCGGGAAGGTTATAGTTCAATCACAAATGTTGCAAACTTTGAGAATTTAGGCTTGGGGCAGGGGGACTAATTGCTCAAACTTAAAAAAAGAGTGAAAATGTTAGAAGAAAATAAACTATTCATCGTTGAATGAGATTTTGTGCAGGAAGTAGTATCTGTTTTCAATTTATCATTTTCAGTCTTCTTTCCTAGCCACACCTCGGTATTGCCATAGAATCATAGAATAGTTTGGGTTGGAAAGGACCTTTGTAGGTCACCTAGTCCCACCCCAAAGGCCATGCTGTGGCCTGGCTGGCTGTGACAGCCCATGTTTGCGTGATGCCTTCTCTGCGTGCATTTGTGCAGGAAGTAGTATCTGTTTTCAATTTATCATTTTCAGTCTTCTTTCCTAGCCACACCTCGGTATTGCCATAGAATCATAGAATAGTTTGGGTTGGAAAGGACCTTTGTAGGTCACCTAGTCCCACCCCAAAGGCCATGCTGTGGCCTGGCTGGCTGTGACAGCCCATGTTTGCGTGATGCCTTCTCTGCGTGCATGTCCCTGTGCTCGGCACTGGTGAGGCCGCACCTCGAGTCCTGTGTTCAGTGTTGGGCCCCTCACTCCAAGGAGGACATGGAGGTGCTGGAGCCTGGCCAGAGCAGGGCAGCGAGGCTGGGGAAGGGTCTGGAGCACAAGGCTGGGGAGGCGCTGCTGAGGGAGCTGGGGTTGTTTAGTTTGGAGGAGGCTGAGGGGAGAGCTCATCGCTCTCTACAACTGCCTGACAGGAGGTTGTAGCGAGGTGGGGGTCGGTCTCTTCTCCCAAGTAACAAGTGATAGGACAAGAGGAAACGGCCTCAAGTTGCGCCAGGGGAGGTTTAGGTTGGATATTAGGAACAATCTCTTCACGGAGAGTGGTCAGGCATTGGAACAGGCTGCCCAGGGCAGCGCTGCAGTCACCGTCCCTGGCAGTGTTCAAACACACACACGCAAACCCCCCGTCTCCCCACCGCGCCGCACCGCCAGCGCCCCAGGGCCG